TGTAGGGATTTTTTCAATCGAAAATCTCAGTCTTTCTGTTTGGTTAGCCCTGAGAGGCAGGATTTGCTGCCCCCTAAATGATCTGAACTACAGGGTGACCCCCCCAAAAAAAAAACAACAACAACCCAACAACAACGTTACAACTTTTTGTGTAAACATTTTCCTCTATACAGGCGCTTTGCAGGCAAAAAGAATTTATTTGATATTCATTCTAGATAGTTCAACTGAATAGTTTTTCTCTGAATAGCACAAAAGAAGACAACCCATTTTTTGCCTAGTCCCAATTTTTATAGCATGACGAACCAGTTTGCATTAGGCCTATCACTAAAAGTCACAACACTCGTGCCATAATGCAAGCTACAGCAGTCTAACAAGTCAACAGAAGTTTACAGATGTTGTTTTTCTCAAGTTTCCTTTGCCTGATGAGATCATGATTAAGTTAAGTAAAGAGCAAAGAGTTTTGTTTTACTGAGAATTACCTCACCTCCAACTCATCATCTTCGACATTTCGTAAGCTTCGCCCAAGGTACGGAAACAAAGCTAAAGTGCCCTCAGATATTCTCTAATGTCGTGGGTAGAGATATTCCGTCAGTTTGAATCTACTATAGAGAATCAAAATTTAAAATTCTTAGACAAAACGACTACAACAGGTCAAAAACACGCCTGTTTGCACCCCTTTAAATGTCATCAGGATACAGAATTCAGCATTCACGTCCCACGAGAAGTCTGCCTGCTGCTGACAATGTCTGCGGCAAAGACTTTCCTGCACCTTAACGCTCCACTTTCTCAAAGTAGATCTTCACCTATGGCAATACCATTTTCATGTTCGTGAGGTTGACATGGATCAGAGAATGGCAATGTGTTCATGGTTTTTCGGTCGTTTTGAAGAGCGTGGGCATTTCCTCAATGACATTAATTTTATTATTTCAGTAGAAGAGCCCATTTTCACCCTTCAGGATGTAAACCCCTCAAATGCTCTCTATTGGGCACACCACCCACCCTTATCATATCTAGAAGACGCTCTGTAATGAAAAGTTTACAGTGCGTGCATTTTTAAGCATATTATGGTTTGACGGGTCATAATATTCGGCCACACGTCAAAAATATTTCAAATCCAAAGGACGACATGTAGGGCAATGGCTATAAGAATTTTAGAATAACAACGTCAGTTTTTAATTTTATAAGAGAAATTAAATATTGTTTAAATGTTACAGGGATGGAAAAATAAGCGTTAAAAAGAAAAGAAAGAAAAAAAGCAAACCATCGGTTCATGACTTTCTTTAAAAGATTTTTAATTTTTGCATGTTGCGTTCATGGATGTTTTTTTTTTTTTCTTAAGCGTTTTCGTCTTCAAAAATAAGTATTATCTTTATGCCTGTTCTGTCACCAAACTTTTGAATGAATAAAGTCTGTTCCAAATTTCAGCTTTCTAGAACATTTTTTGTGCAAAATATTCACATAAAAAGTTGTAAAGTTATTTGTTTGCTTTTTTTTATCACCCTGTGTGTCGATGGGGGTGTAAAAACTTCGCCACTTAATTGAAATTCAATGCAAACCTGCACTTACAACTACATGGCATTGGACAGAAGGGCGAGAGCCCAGCTGTTGCTGGATCGATAACAACAACAACAACAATTGAAATTCAATGAAATTGTGCAGTGCACGTTTGTTTTCTCTCTAATCAATGCTGTCCTTTGTTTGACAATCTTCTAAAGTGCTTGTGTCTGTTTTCCTAACGTTCTACAGCGATTATGAGTGTTTTCGTCATTACCATCTACAGTATTTGTGACTGTTTTCTCGATTACCTCCTACAGTGGTTGTGACTCTTTATTTGACTACCTTCTACAGTGGTTGTGATTGTTTTCTTGATTACTTTCTACAGCAATTGTGACTGTTTTACTGATTACTTTCTACAGAAATTGTGCTATTCCCTTGATTACTATTTTCAGCGGTTGTGACTATTTTCTTGATTACCTGGTACAGAGGTTGCGACATTATTCTTGATTACCTTTTACAGTTGCTGTAGTTGTTTTCTTGGACACCTTTTAAAGCTGGTGTAACTATATTATTTTTCTTGATTAACTTCAACTTCTAAAGCCATTGTGACTGTTTTCTTGATAACCTTCTACAGTAATTGTAACTGTTTTCTTGATCACTTTCTACAGTAATTGTGACTGTTTTCTTGATCACTTTCTACAGTAATTGTGACTGTTTTCTCAATCCCTTTCTACAGTAATTGTGACTGTTTTCTCAATCCCTTTCTACAGTAATTGTGACTGTTTTCTCAATCCCTTTCTACAGTAATTGTGACTGTCCTCTTCATGCTCGGCTCGTGCGATGGGACATGCCTAAGTCCAGGCAGCTTGACGATCATTAATGTGAAGGAAAATACTCCTCTCGGTAAGTTTCTCACCCGTTTTTATAATTTATAATTTTTTTTTTGCTTTCGTCCGCTACGGGGGTTGGGCAGGGAGTGAGAGTGGTAGTGCTTTGGAGAAAAGGGGG